GCTCTGCCTTCTGATCACCTCTTCCTCCTAAGGATAGAAGAATGGTTTGAGCCAAGGTAGTAATCCCTTTTTTCTAGAAGGAAAAGGTTCTTGAGGATGATGTCAGAAGTTCTCCATTAAAATGATGCTTGTTTGCTGAGTGATCGTGGCTCATACTTGTAATCCTAGCTACTTAGGAGGCTGAGATCTAAGGATGGCTATTCAAAGCCAGATGGGTCAGGAAAGTCTGTGAGACTCTTATCACCAGAACGGCAGAAGTGGAGCTGTGGCCCAAAGTGATAGAGTGCTAGTCTTGAGCAAAAAAGCTCTCAGGGACAGCTTCCAGGCCCTGAGTTCAAAACCCCATGACTACCACCACCACCAACAACAACAACAAAAAAAATACCTGTCCCCAGGAACTATACATTAAGACAAAATGTAGTCATATTGATTTAAACAAATGGGATTGGTCAATGAAGTGTTGAGAAACTGGTGGTGGTCTTCATGTTCCAATCTGGGCCTCTTAAGCCAAGCAGGAGTGATGCTGAGCTGTCTCAGTTGAGCAGATACAGTGGCCTGGTGCTGGGGCAGCCCACACTGAGCTAACGTGAGCCCTTTGCTCTCTACAGCCTAATTCTGATGACATTTAGAAAATGTACTGCCTATTTGTGCATACTCTCCTGTCTCTGGCTTTTAGGGAAAGGGGGTGGGGCAGAAGAATGTGACAGAGAGCAGCTGAAAATGAGCCACTTCATAATGGGAGGAAATTGCTCATGTTCAGAGCAATTTTATCAAAACGGAACAATTCTCCCTAAATAGCAAGCCTGAGGATGTACAAATAGCACTGTCATAAAATCAGCTCTAAGTGACTTCAGAAAATTGTCTCTCTCATAAAGTCTCAATTGGTCTTATCTGTGGGGCAGTAAATCTCCTCCCCCATTAGAGGACCATCAGGGTGGAGGACATTCACAGTGATGCATCCCATAAAAGTCACGGTAAAAATCTCTTTTGAGTCATCAGTGCTATTCAGGAGCTCTCAAAGTTTGCTTTTCATCTGTGGAAAAATAAATAAGTTAAAAGTCACCCCCAAAAAGAGTTCCAGCTGTGAAGGCAACCAGTTCTCATGTGGAACACGTTACTCTTGGAAGAAATCATGGGCACAAGTGTGGTTCCCAATTGTATAATGCTGAAGACACAAAGGGTTTAACCTGCTGATCTTCACAGAAGTACCTGGTAACTACAGACGAAATCCAGTCCTGCACAATGTTCCAGAGCCACAGGCTTAGGAAGAGGAGCCTCAGTAAGAGGAGGCCTAGACATTGAGAATCAGGGTGTCTGAAGTGGATTCAGGAGTATATGTTCTTTCCTTCCTCCCTCATTTCCCCTCATTTCCTTCCTCATTTCCCTGAAATGAGGAAGTAAAAATCAGTATTGTTGCTGTTAATGGGGATTTCTAAGGGCATTTTACATGGGCAGTGCACCCAGTAGGAGACAATATGAAGCAATATTCAAACATTCAGAACAGGCCATTTCCAGTATGAAAATGTGATAACAGTTTTTATAAGAACAAATTCTGGATATTGGGAATAAATTATCAATGGTCAGGTGCTGCTGGCTCACACCTATAATTCTAGCTACTCAGGTGGCTGAGATTTGAGAATCCCCATTTGAAGCTAGCCTGGGAAGACAAATCCAAAAGATTATTATCTCCAGTTAACCAACTAAAAGCCAGAAGTGGAGGTGTGGCTCAAGTGGCTGAGTGCTAGCCTTGAGCAAAAAAGCTAAGCAAGAGCATGAAGCCCTGAGTCCAAGCCCAGTGCCAGCACACACATGTAAATTACTAGTGTCTCCAACCCAAAGTCTTTTTCCCCCATCTTTTTTTGTGTGTGCACTGGTCTTACGGCTTTGAATGCAGGGTCTCTGAGTCACACCTCCACTTCTGGCTTCTTTTTTTTGTGCTTATTTGGAGATCTGAATGTCATGAACTTTCCTGTCTAAGTAATTCTAGCTACTGTCATCCTCTCTACTCAGGAGACTGAGATCAGAGGATTACAATTCAAAGAGTTCAGGAACAGCAGCCAGTCCCTGTGTTCAAGCCCCATGAGTTGAAACTCAGTTGGATGGAAATTGAAGAAGGAAATGTGGGCAGACAATGTTGTAAAATACAATGGCTTGGGGGGTGGAAAGGAATGGGGGAGGTCAGGGAGGGAAGGGATAGGGATAGTAGGAGAAAAACAAAGGAGGGGTAACAATGCTGGACAAGAAATGTACTCATTACCTTACCGATATAACTGTAACTTCTCTGTACAGCATCTTTACAAGAAAATAAAATTTTAAAAAATACAATGGCTGTATAATCCTAGAAGACTGACTCACAGGCTTCTCACTGTTTTGTGCTAAGATTAGACATTCGTTTTCTTCACTGAGACCCCATAAAGAAACATAAAGCCAAGACAAAGGCCGAGTGTGCAAGACTACTCCATCAACCCCCTTTAAAACTCTTCCCACATTCGTAATCCTAAACTTGGTGGGAAATGAGAAGATGGGGGTAAACCTAAGATGACACTTATTTATTCCAAAAGCATCAAAGGTGCAGGAGGACAAGGATGTGCAGACAAAACTAAGACCAAGATGGCCCCAAGAAATACAATTTCTCTCTCCACTGATCGAAGAAAAAAGGTTCATCTGAAGCCAAGGAGGAAAAAGACATGAGAATTCTCAAACAGGATTAAGGCAAATGGGAGCTCTTATTTTCTTGTGAAGGTGTCTTGGAATAGCACTAGAGGTAGAAATCAACTATCATCCAGGAAAGGGAAGGCATATAAAAAGCAGGCCAGAGGGAGATCATAAGGTACAACTGAAGCCAGACCTGGTGGTACATACCCATGAACACGGCACTCAGAAACCTGTGATAGGAGGACGTCGGCTCAAGCCCAGCATGGACTATAGTGAATTCTTAGACCATCATGGCTACACAGTGAGATCCTGTCTTCAACCAACAAATGGGAATGGATGAGGTCCTGCTTTTCTTCATTCCCAGTGGCAATTCCTGAAATATGGTTCTGGAGGGTTGTGAGTTAGAAAAAAAATGGAGAAGAAAGGGTTACTATTGAAATCCATTTTTTTAAACCTAAAGATATTCACTTTCTATTTAAATAGGACACTAGTGGTCTCCTAAGCATATTCCTGGAGTAAAGAGGAAGTATAGGCAATGAGATTTTTTCACAGAAAAGCTGCACCAAAGTCTGTCAGGACAGGGCAGGTAGATGAGTCTCTGGAGATGTCTATGAGTCCTGGGTGAGGGCTCATTATTGTTCTTTTTGTTGGGGGGCTTGAACTCAGGGTTTGGGTGTTGTCCCTGAGCTCTTTTTGCTCAAGGCTAGTGCTCTACCACTTTGATCCACAGTGCCACTTCCAGTTTTTCTGGTGGTTAATTGGATATAAATCTCATGGCCTGTTCCTCCTGCTCCCCCCTCCGCCCTCCCTTCTTCCCTCTCTCTCCCTCTCCCTCTCTCTCAGTTACGGGGCCTGAACTCTGGGCCTCGGCGCTATCTCTCAGCTCTTAGCTCAAGGCTAGCACTCTACCACTTGAGCCACAGCGCCACTTCCAGCTTTTTCTGCTGATGTGGTGCTGAGGAATCGAACCTAGGGCCTCATGCATGCAAAGCAAACACCCTACCACTGAGCCACCTTCTCAGCCCATCCTGCTCTGTTTACAAATTGATGTGAAGTAGTTCTCTCTTGTGAAATTGTTCTGTCTTATAAAGTTATAATCAGACCATCTCATACCTCTGCTCAAAACCATTCAGTGGTTGGGTGTGGTGGCACAGAAGTGTACTCCCCGACAGAGACAGGAGGATGGCAAGGTGGAGACCAGTCTGGGCTACCTAGTGAGTCGGTCTCAAGAAATCAAACCAAACCTCAACACATCCTTTGTTGATTTTTTTTTTTTTTTTTTGTGGCAGTTGTGGGGCTTGAACTCTGGGCGTGGGCAGTCCCTGAGCTCTTCAGCTCAAGGACTCTACCACTTGAGCCATAGTGCCACGTCCAGTTTTCTGAGTAGTTTACTGGAGATAAGAGTCTTGCCGGAGCTGGCTTTAAACCACAATCCTCAGATCTCAGCCTCCTGAATAGCTAGGATTACAGGCATGAGCCACCAGCCTGGACATCTGTTGATTTATTCATACTCAAAACTAAATCCAGATTCTTTTTTTTTGTCTGAAACCAGGACTCAAACTCAGTATCTGATGCTTTTGCTGGCAGACAACCTACCACCTGAGCCATGCCTCTAACTCAGTCCAGAATTTTCACCTTGACCTGTGAGCTCCTCAGCTCTTTTGATCTAATATAATTACCTTTTATTCTCCGTCAACATCATGACGTTCTACTGAGGGAATACAAGAGACATCAATCAAATGTGGCACTTAAACACTTGAAGCATGGCTAGTTCAAACTAAAATGCTGTGATATACATGCACTGGGGTTTCAAAAGACTTAGATCAAATTATAAATTCCTCATTAAAATTTTTCTTTTAAAAAGCTGGGCATGAACTTCAGAAGTACAGCCCTTGCCCAGCATATGTAAAGCACGCTGAGTTTGATTCCCAGCATCTCTCTCTCTCACACACACACACAGAGTTTATGTTGAAATGTTAGGTTCTGAATATATTGGGTTCAGTGTTTTATGTTTTTTTCCTTTTTAAAATATTCTTTTAGAGAAGTGAAAATCACACATGTGGCTTGCGTTACACTGCCATTCAATGATGTTACTCATGTTACTCTAAGGAGCTGAGAGACTATGGGAGATGTGCCATACCAATCCACACCTGCTTCTATAGACAGTGGGCTATGAATAGTTTTCACATGTAAAACAGTGAAAAGTCAAGAGTAATTGGTGACACATGAAAATTTAAAAAAATTCAAATTTTAGTGTTCATTTACAGAACTTTATTGGAAAAGAGGACTTACAAAGTGTTGCTTCTTCTGTCAAATAAACCCCACAAAAGCATATTTTTCTTTTGTACAATGAGTTATTATCAGTACTTAGGCACTATCTGGCACAAATTAGGTGCTCTATACATATAGTCATTAAATTCTTAAGATGTAGGTATTGGAGGTTGTGTAGGGAGCACTTCATTATTTAAAGAATGTGAATTACCAAAATTATAAACCACTCTCCTTTTCTAAGGTTAATTAAGCCCCCAAGCAAGTCCCCACTTAGGAACATGAGACTGGAAATGCTGGTATACCACTGGGCTTGAGGACAGACCCAGATACTGCTGCATGACAAAAGGAACAGGCATTATAATCAAAGTTTCTTATTTTCTTTGAATAAATCCCATGATTTTTAATTGCCCCTCCTTTTTTTCCCTGCATCCTCTTAGAAAGGAGAAGTAAAGCTGTCCCAGTTATCAAAAAATTCAAATTTCCCTTTCTTTGGTGGACTGGCTGCCAATGTGTTTTCATCCAGAGTATCTCCCAGAGAACCACTTCCAGAGGTTGTTGAAGTACTTCCTGGGTCAAAGGACTCTGCTGCCTCCAGGAGCTCTAAGTCACTTCCATCTTCCTCGAATGACTTCTGGAATAAGTCATAGATTGTCTGCTGCTTCGGGTCCTTCATTGGGGAAAGGAAAGAAAAAGTGAAGGGAAGAACCCAGGCTCTATCGCTGACCTTTCTCCATTGTATCCTGCATGAGAGTTCCAAGGGGACAGACAGTACATTTTACGCCATCTGGAGCTACATGGTAATGAACCAACCATCACAGTAAATGATTTACCAATACAGCAGCCTCTCTCTCTTAGTGCCTGACATCTTTTCTGCGGCTCACTGGGTTAGGAGTAAAAAGGATGGTTGTGACAGTAACAAAGGAGCTGTTCCTCCACTATAATTTATGTTGGAGATATTTTCTCCCTTCCTTTCCAAATCAGTATTTCAGTGTTGAAATCGCTGTAGGATCTCACTTCCTCCTAACCCACCTCATTTACAGAGTGGATACCTACCCCTCTGTCTGTTAATGTTCAAGCTCCAGATGACTCCAGAGTCAAAGAGACTCTTATTTCCAATAAACCACTCAGAAAACAGGAAGTGGTGCTGTGGCTCAAATGGTAGAGTGCTCACCTTGAGCTGAAGAGTTGAGGGACAACGCCCACGACCAGAGTTCAAGCCCCACAAACAACAACAACAACAAAAAGTCTCATGGACTTTCCGGGCTGGCTTTGAACTGCGATTCTGAGTAGCTAGGATTACAGGTGTGAGCCACCAGCGCCCAGCTTGGATAACAGCACTTTAACATAGATACATTCATGACTGAATCATATCACTGCAGGATATAACAGTAGGCAGTAGCAGACCACTGCCAGTAGGAATACCTATTAATTTGCATGTGATTAAGGTACTGGCAATTCTACTGCAAACTTGGAGCATGCATAATTAATTGGAAGAATATTCCAAGATCAGATTAATATTTCATTTCCCCTCTCAGAAGGAAGGCTATCTTACTGAAATATAACCTCTTTTGCTTTTGTCTCCCATATAGGAGGTAACATTTTCTTTTCCCTAGCTGGTAATGAAAATTTCAGCCCTATCTTAATAAAAATAAGCTGATACCTTTTTAATCAAAATAAACACTGATAGCCCTTTTTATCTCTGTGCTCAAGGGAACAAGATTTTGAGGATGGGAGACGTGGAGTCACGTGGCCAATTGTCTTTCTGCCTTCCAACATCCTTCCAACAACACCCTGTAGACAAGAGTAAACGGAGATTCACAGCCTTTAGGGTCCATTGGAGCTACAATGGGAGGGCCTTGAGAAGGAGCTGCTATTTTCAGTGAAGGATAAGTGGTTACGTGCTCCTGTACTTTGGATCTGGATTTACTGCACCTTTCTTTACACTAAACACCAACTACTTAACATATAAGGGTGTTTTAATTCATTCATTTAACAGAGAGGAAGAATGTTTTAAGGTGTAATCTGGGTATGTTTGTAATACTGGTAAGCTTCATTTGCATTATTTTGCACTTGTATTTTAGGTAAAATTTCTTAGCTAATTCAGAGTAACTGAGAGAAGGCCAAAATGAGAAAATGAGTTTAAATGGGAACCGTTGTTTTCCAACAGCACAGGGCAACCTAGATTTCACTGACATACAAAATCATCATTCTGCTGAATTAGCTTTCAAAAGCTTAAAAATAACATAACTGCTTTTGCCTAAAAGGATAATTTACAGTTGATATTTAAAAATATGATCTGAGTCTTACTGCCAATAATGATATAAGAAAAAAAGGATTTCTTTGTTAAGTCAATATTCAAACTTCATTTTATCTTTATTATTGTTATTGTTATTATTATTATTGTTGCCAATCCAGGAGCTTGAACTCAGGGCCTGGGTACTGTCCCTGAGCTTCTTTTACTCAAGGCTATCACTCTACCACTTGAGCCACAGAAGTACTTCTGGCTTTTTCTGAGTAGTTAGTGGTAGTTGTTTATTTCTCTCTCTCTTTTTTTTTTTGTTGGTTGTGGGACTTGAACTCTGGGTTTGAGCGCTGTCCCTGTGCTCTTCAGCTCAAGGCGAGCGCTCTACCACTTGAGCCACAGTGCCACTCCCTTTTTCTGAGTAGTTAGTTGGAAATAAGAGTCACAGGAACTTTCCTGCCCAGGCTGGCTTTGAACCATGATCCTCAGGTCTCAGCCTCCTGAGTAGCTAGGATTAAAGGCATGAGCCAGAAGTACTCGGCTCAGGCTCTTCATTTTAGAGTCACCTATAAAATCCATCCATCTAACTCAAATTCCAGTATTCAGCAATTGCAGAGGAAGGAGAAGGTGCCTTAGTTCCCTGTTGACTATACTGCTACAAAGCTGCCTTCCTGTCTGCGGCTCAGACTCGCCCAAATCCTTGACCATCTGGGCTGGTCTCTGAGCCTCCTGCTCCATGGCGTCCCACTTAAATAGTGGCACAGGAGGCCATGGCAGCCACTGGATCAGCATGTAGCCCAAGCAAGGCGGGCATGGGGGGCCTGGGGTTATACTCTCTGAGATCAACTAACTCCCTCTGGGCCCCTCTGACAAATCCTATCTGGTTATGGGATGATGTCTTCTGGCCTGCCACAGCCCTTTAGAATGAGGGCTGATGCCACAGACATGATGGGATGGGTTTCACATACCCCTGTGACTTCGCATTGTGTCTCACTTTACCCCATTACAAAATGGGAATAAAATTAAATGACAGAAGGGAAGCTCTTTGAGGTAGTATCCTATTTCAGCGTCTTCTCTGTTCTGTGCTGGAGACAGTTCTGTAGTAGTCCTGCTATGATTGGTGTTGCTATTGGTTGTTTTTTTTTTTTTTGTGACAATTCAACAATTGCCTTGAATTTTTCAATTTCTGGAGGGCTGAGGGAAAGCAGCATTTGGAAGCCTTGGTTTCTTCTGGGGCATGTGAGAAGCATTAAGAGTCAATGCTTCCCCATAAAGGGCTGTATAGTGGGCTGACTTGAGCATGACTGCAGGTTCTTTTTCTAACTCCAGGGCCAGATGAAGCCCCAGGGCCAGAGATAGCCCAAGCAGTGAATCACACCTTGTGTCCCTAGGTCTCAAGGGCTTGGCTGACAGCTTGATGCCTTGCCTCCACTCCAGAAATAGGCAGTCAGGGCTGGATTTACCTTGTAGAAGTAATCAGTGGCTTCTGTCACTTCTGAGAAATTGGTCTCGGAAAGGCCAGCTTCTCCTAGAACTTTAATCTTCTCTTGAATCAAGGGCCTGTCAGGAAAAAATGAACTGTAGTGAACGTAATTTTCTAGAAGTAGCAGCTGATTAGAATGAAGCCATCCTGCTCTTCCTTAGGGGACGGCGAGGTGGTAAGTGGTTCCCATCTTTGCATCTTACAAGGTTTTGGGATCTACCCTGAAATATGTGCCCCTCTCAGTTGTAACCAAGCTCCACCTTAGGACTCATCAGAACTGGTTCGATATTCTTCCTAATGGAAGATGTTCAGGAAATAAACACTGCCTCACTATAGGAATTTTGTGAGCCTGATGGTGCTATGAGCTGTGCAATGAACCAGCCCACTGAACACAGAGAGAAGTGATGTGCACTGCAGAGGCCATACACCTTAGTCACTGAGGCTGGACAAAGGGGTAAGTGGACACTAAAGAGATAACTCAGAGACTTAAGATCAGGAACAAAGAAATGGGACTGGGAAAGAGTACTGGGGGCTTTTTTTTTGCTTAGTTGACAGACACAAAACGTTGGGGCTGAACACATGATCTCAGCCCTACTAATAGAACCCTGCATGGTCCAGGGTGAGCCTGTCTGTCTTTGCATCCAGCAGCAGCAGATGTAGATGACAGATGCAGCGATCATCCCACACATCATAAACGAGAAAAGGGATGCTTATCCTAACAACTGTCTTCATGGCTGGGAACAGAGTGATCTGCAAACTAAACCATCTACATTGTTACAACCAGTTCCTATTGTGCTCTTCTCCTTCTTGAGCAGGTGGGAGAGCAGCTACCTCCCCTTGGTCCCACAGGATCTTCTCCTGCACCTTGCAAGTCCCCAAAGAATGCCAGTGTCACAGCTCCAACATAGTCATGCTGTGGTGCCATGACTAATGGGTTTCTGGAGGTCTCAGCAAAAGTGGAAGCACTTCCGGAGCTCAGAAAACAGTGTCCACCCTCGGTCAACTCCACATCCAGCTGTCCAGCTAGGCATACCAAAGGTAGTCATCCGCTGTGCCTTTTGCAACCAGGTAGTGAATGCCCACGGAGCTTGTCTGTCCAATGCGGTGCACTCGGTCCTCGGCCTGGATCAGCACCTGTGTGCCCAGGGATCAAGACAGCTAGGGAGAGGGCCTGAAGCAGCCTTTCCTCCCCTCACCGCCGCCGCCCCCCCCCCAGCCTAATCACAGCATGTAGCCTCTGGTCTCTCAGCCCTACTTCAGCCCTTCCTCCTCACAGCATTTCACTATCTCTCAGACGTGACATTTAACGACAGTCAAACCTTGGTGGGGGACCTGGAATCGGAAAGGACCCTGTGGAGGTGCTGGGTGCTACAGTGAAAAATGTGCAGGCTCCACCATCAGGCTGTGTGCTGAGAGGAAATTAGGGTAACCTGGCATAGCTCCATCACTTTCTCTCCCCATCCCCTACTTTGTCATTTGTAGGGCTTGAACTCAGGGCCTGAGCACTGTCCCTAGCTTTCAGGCTCAAGACTAGCACTCTATCACTTTGAGCCACAGCTCCACTTCCAGTTTTCTTGTGGTTAGTTGGTGATAAGAGTCTCATAGACTTTCTTGCCTGGGCTGGCTTCAAACCATGAGCCTCAGATCTCAGTCTCCTGAGTAGCTAGGATTACACATATGAGCCAACAGCACCCAGTTCCATCTCTTTCTTTTCTTTTCTTTTCCTTCTTTTTTTTCTATATGCTAAGCAAGCACTCTACCACTGCTTGATATCCTTACTCGGACTCCAACACTTCTTATTTTTTGCAGTGTTGCGAATTAAACCCATGGTTTAGCACATGCTAAGTATGTACTTTATCACTGAGCCATACTCCGAGTCCACATTTCCATTTCTTGTCTCTGGGATAGTCAATGTTATCTTCTAAAGAACCAGAAAGAAAACATCCAGGAAAGAGGCCATATATGGCTAGAGGTGGGGTGGTATTTTCATATGGTATATACTGCATAATAAGTAACTAAAATCAAGAGAACTGTTTCTTTTCTTGACAGCTGTGACCTTGAAGTCCACCTATTGTTAAAGCACTCATTGAAGTCTGGCCAGTAGAAGCCACATATCAAGAGCATCAGAGGGAAATAACTCATTTTCTGAAGTTTAAGAAGAAAATTTTATGAGTTCAAACAAATGCCCTACAGCTGTGTGACAGCCTTCAGTCTGGCTGTGATCAGTAAGGGAGGTGGTTCATGACATCCAGAGAACACTGAGCACGGTCATTCTGTGTGAGGACCCCTTGGCTGAGCAGCTCACAGAGATGGCTAATAAAAAGGAGCACTGGCTGGAACCCAGTAGGCTGCAACCCAACGCTGTTGCATGCGCCCCTAAAGGTTCAACTTTGCTGTGCCGGCTGACTACCTCAGCTCTCTGTTCCCAGTCTCCTCATAGAGATGACATCTAGGGCTCCTTTACAGCTCCGATTTTACCACTGATAATGTGGAGCCACCAATCCTGCAGAATACCATGAAGACCTAAGAAGCAGTACTTGAAAGGAGTGAAAAGTGTTAATGAAACTCGACTGGGGAAAGCTTGCAGACCCATCTCCCTTACTCCCCCAGAAACAAGCATGCCCAGGGAGATTCTAGTCCTCTGTGCCCCTTACCCCTGGGTTCCAAAAGAGCTCGGCAAACACCACTAGGTCAGCTGAGGAGAAAGTGAGGCCCATGTTGGCGGCAGTGATGGACAGCACTGCAACTGAGTGTCCCTCAGACAGCTGGAACCGCTGGCACAGCTCTTCTCGGTTGGCTGAGGGTGTGGAGCCATCGATGCGGATGTGCTGTACGTGCTGCAGGGACAGGGGAAACTCAGGCCGGCTACAATGCTGTGGTGCCAGAGGCTGAAGAGCAAGCCCGCTCAGCAGGGTCCCAGAGACTGTCTGGCCCTCTGCTCCTAAACACAACTGCATACTCACATACCACCTTAAAAAATAACTCAGAGATCCTTTGTACACAGCGCTCAGGTTTCCTGGAACAGTATGACATCAATCTGGACTGACTTTGATACAACCTCCTGACCTTCAGATTTCTCTTCCTGAATGCATGGGTGCTCTACACATTTTTATTACTCAAGTAAACTTTTCATGTACTCATCTCCACAGTCAAGGATCCTTCTGTAATTCTTTCTCCTCAGTCCTTAACCTCTTTCTGCATTTCTAAAATGTTTCATTTCCTGAATGCTATGCAAAGGTGATCATGCAATGTGTAATTTGGGGGGGGGG